ATAACTATGTTATGCAAATGATTTGGGGTTTATTTATTTATTTATTTATTTTTTCTCCTCTAAACTGTGTTATTTTCCTAAGTCTTTCAGGCATTTTTTTTTCAGGCATTTTCTTCTTGTGTTAGGTTTTAGGCGTTTGGCAAATTCTCTGGAGTTTAAATTAAAGTCTTACCAATTTTATAAAGTTCCCTTTGCCCATTATAAAAGCCAATGATAAGGGCATGTGGCAGTTTTCAGCACATGTCATGGAGTGTTCGATTTAATACGATGCCTATTGATTCTCTATTTTCAGTCCATCACCAGGCTAGACATAGTAGGACAGACCCATGCACTTCCTGCGCTCAGAGAGTTTACTTACTTATTAATTACTCATTTATCTTTCAAATATTTTTTAAGTACTTATTATATGCCAAGCACCTTAACACACACTGGGGATGTTACAATAAATAAGGCAAGCGTGACTGTTGCCTCCGGGAGTTTGCACTCCAGTAAAAGTGATAGAAGAAGCAATGACAACACAGTCTTTGTCTAAGGCAGAGATAGTGTGGGCTTTATCAAGTGACTGGCCTTGCCAGTGTCACAGGAGCACATAGGAAAGGCACGCTGGTGGGTCAGAGAAGCCCTCAGATAGTTGGCCAGTGGATGTTTTTTGAACGTCATTTAGGAGCCAGGCACGGAAATTTACAAGTTGACACATGAATGATAAGAATTTGGCAGGTAAATGAGGTAGAGGTAGTTGAGTAGAATGTTCTAGGCAAAATGAACAGTTTATAAGATTACCTAAAGGCAGGGACACCTGGGTGGCTCAGCGGTTGAGCATCTATCTTTGGCTCAGGTCTTGATTCCGGAGTCCCAGGATCAAGTCCCACATCGAGCTCCCTGCAGAGGGAGCCTGCTTCTCCCTCTGCCTGTGTCTCTGCCTCTCTCTCTGTCTCTCATGAATAAATACATAAAATCTTAAAAAAAAAAAAAAAAAAAAAAAGATTACCTGAAGGCAAAGTTTGAAGAACTGAGTATTACCAGTGTTGCAGATGAGACTGGAAAAGGGAAGAGACACAAGCTTTGAAGGGACTTGGAGGCCATGTTACAGAGTGTGAACTCTACTCTGAGAATTGTGACAAGTCTTACAATGGTTCGAAGCCAAGATGACTCTGATATTTTTGTGTAAAGGATTATGTTGACTGTTGTGTTGAGACTGAGCTGGGAGGACCATGGAGGCAATAAGGTCTGTTCAGAAGCCATTGTAATAAAGCAGATCGAAGGCGATGGCGATCTCAACTAGGGCAGTGGCAATGGCTAGAACTGTACTACGTGTTTGAGAGTTATCAAGGAAAGGGATCTTAGAACTTGGTGAGAGACGGAACAATGACAAGTTAGTTATGATAGGAAAGAAAGAGGGAGGCATTCTCAACTAACTGCCTGAAAGGTGATGCAATTTACTGACACAGTAACCCCAGAAGGAGGAGTGGGTAGGAGAGGGAAACCCCAGAATTCAATATGGGATCTGTTAAGTTTAACATACCCAAGAAAGAGATCCATGAGGGAGATATAGATCCAGGATTTATCAACATGTCGATCAGATAATCCTCACTGGGAATAATGGAAAGAGGGTTCTATGGATCCCTATGGGTAACAGAATCTCTGAATCTCCTAAAATGTTTTCAAATGTTTAAGCTTATTTTGTATATGCTTATTATTTCAGGGTAGAGGAAGATTACGCAAATTTTCTTTAAAATGCAAGTTTGCTATAACTCATAGCCATTAAGGACTGCAGAGGAAACTGAAGGGACAATCTGTGTTAAGAGTATCCAAAGAGGGTGTCTGGGCAGCTTAGTTGGTTCAGCGTCTGCCTTCAGCTCAGGTCATGATCCCAGAGTCCTGGGATCAAGCCACACATCAGGCTCCCTGCTTGGCGGGGAGTCTGCTTCTCCATCTCCCTCATCCCCACCCCCAGGTTGTGTTCTCTCTCTTTCTCTCTCTCTCTCTGTCTCTCTCTCTCTGTCTCTCTCTAATAAATAAATAAAATCTGAAAAAAAAAAAAAGAGTGTCCAAAGAGAGTCACTTAGGCTGACAGTGCTCACAGGCCAGAACCCCAAGAACAGCACATAAAGAGAACACAAATAAGAAGAGGATTCTGAATATGAGCTTGAGAATCCAACAAGGACAGAGCATCAGAAGAAAGGGAGTAGCCCACAGATTCAAATACTACTGGGAGGTCAAATAAGGCAAAGAAAATTATCCATTGGATTTTCAACAAAGAGGTCATGGATGACATTGGCAAGAGAGGCTGCGTTTGGTGAGAAAGAGAAAGTGAGTGGGGGATGAGAGAATGGGAAATGTAGATATAGGAAACTCAAGAAGAGAGGAGAGTGTTAAAGAGGTAACTGGAAAAGAAGACCAGGGGTACAAGGTGAGTATTTCTCCCCTTAAGATGGGAGAGATTTATGCAATGAGTCAACGTGTTCTAAAAGCTCAAAGAGCCTTAAGTAACAACAACCCAACCAAATACACAGAAGCATTTAACGAAATCAGAAGATAGAGCTCAGGGTGTCTGCAGTGAGCAGGATAGATAACTGGAAAGAGTTTGAATTGAATTGAGCCTTGAATGATTGGGTTTTGGACAGGTGAGGATGCGCCATGAATTGGAAGAAATCTGAGGGAAATGAGACTAAATAGTCATCTATTTTTCTTTCACCTTCTTTTGTTATTTAAAGAATATTTTCTCAGCAAATATAGTCTTGAGAATGGAAATTGTCTGTAACTCAGAAAGGGACTACAAGTATAAAAGTATTAGCAGCTAAAAGATATTTAATCCAGTTTACAGTTACTACTTGTGTTCTTGATCTTCCTGTATGAAACACGCATATTCTTTGGGGTCATATTGTTCATTTCCTCCTTTGGATTTTTTAACACCAGATAGGGTGCTAAATCGGTATAAGTTGGTGCTTCTATCACTTAGGTTTCTAACATCTTCCATATTTTTAAAAAAACACACCCATAAATAAAGGTGCTAATGTTGGAAGGAGAAAGATCCTTTTATAAGCAACCTAACACAAGTGACTCCCTGCATAGAGGAGACTGTTACGAGACCTAACTCATGATTAAACACTGTCTATTTCACTTAACTGAATCATGTTTTTCTCATCTTTTTAGAACACTGTACATGTTAATTTTAAAGGTTCTTTTTATGTATCTAAGTTGAATAGGTATTGTTTAAGTAGTAAACTTCCAGCTTTTTACCATTTATAACTATACAGAGGGCAGAGTATAGCTGTAAGTATTGCAAATTATAGTAGACCCTTGATAAAGCGGACGTGTGGTCTTATCCAGGGAGGTTTGGGTGGCGAGGGGTGGGTATTATTTCAGGGGCTACACCTTTGAGTTAGAAGAGAGCCCAACAGTTCTCAGTAACAATCTTAGCCACTCCTTCACTTTCTTGCCATGAGGATGGGTTGGTGTTCCAAACATCATCTGCACACAAGAAACTTGGATGTTGCTTACAGATGTCAGAGAAACCAACATCAGTTCTTTTTTTTCTTTAAAGATTTTTATTTATTTATTCATGAGAGACACAGAGGGAGAGGCAGAGACATAGGCAGATGCAGACTCTCTGCGGGAAGTCCGATGTGGGATCCCAGGACTCTGGGATCACGACCTGAGCTGAAGGCAAGCACTCAACCACTGAGCCACCCAGGCATACCAACATCAGTTCTGAAAGAATCTTCTTTTCCTACTAAGAAAGACTACTGTTAACTTTTTCCAATTCACGACATACCCCACAAAGGAAAACAAATGTAAAACACTATAATCTTTCTTTGTCTTTATGAAGTTTGGCTTTCTATATTTTTGTCCTACTTCCTAGAAGAGGCCAGACTAGTTTAAAAACACACACACATCTACAGACAAACACACATACATAACATTTTCAGATGCTGGCTGTAACAGATCTTGATCCTTTATGCCCCGTCAGGGATGTCCTAGTTCTCCCCTCTATGTGGACACATTGCTTCCTGCCTACTCTGTCCTGGCCCCTGGGTCATGGTCATCCTGGCAACCTTGGTTTTACTTTTCCAGAGGATGCAGAGTGCTTGGGATGTTACAATTTATAACCTGCTACATCAACAAATATCCAGTTGGCCTTTGAGATTTTATAGTGCAAGACTTTGGATAGGGGAAAGTGTTTTTGTAGAACCTGCATATTCCATTGTTGCCTCTCATATATCACAGCTCTCTTCACAGACACCAAAGGCAAGGCATTTGCAAATGACCTCAGACCCCTGCCACATAGTTTTATTTTATTTTATTATTTTATTTTATTTTCTAGGCTTCTAAGCATCTTTTATCTGAGTCATCTGACCCACTTCTGAGAGACCTTTGTAATTACCTTATTTGCTGTGAGTGAGAAATCTAAAGACCACTCGAATTGATTAGAGGCCTTGGTGGGAAAAATTTCTGATCTGGGATAATGTCGTTTTAGACAATCAGGAATACCTGATTTTGATCTCCATAGGTCTATAAAAAAAGTCTGAATAGCAAATTGTCTTAATGGTCATCGTTTCTTTTAAACAAGTAAGAATTGTCGTTCTGGTTTAAGGAAAAAACAGAAGATAACATTGCTTTTCAAACCCAGATGAAATTGTCATAGATTTGATAATATAATAAGATCACTGCTCATTGGTGGCAATATTTTGAATACCTGTTGAGAAACCCGTGATTTTGTAGCACAGTTGTCTTCCGGGACCTTCAGGGCCCCACTGAACAGACCGACTAGTATTAGGATTCCTCAAAGTGTGGTATGAGATAGACTGTATCCTAACCCTACCCTTTGTGCCTTGTTGAGAAGATTCTGAAGGTGGGGACTGCAGATCTACATTTTGCCCAGAGCCTCTATGTAGCTCAAGCACTGCAGGGTGTCAGAGCCACCTCCCCAGGAGATAGATGGGTAAGTAAGTCAGATGATCACCTGACTTACAACGAACTCTTGTCTCTCTTCTGTTTAGGTGCAAATGTAATCTCCATGCCACCGTGTGCGTGTATGACAACAGCAAACTGACCTGTGAATGTGAGCACAACACTACAGGTCCAGACTGTGGGAAATGCAAGAAGAATTATCAGGGCCGACCTTGGAGTCCAGGCTCATATCTCCCCATTCCCAAAGGCACTGCAAATACCTGTGAGTAACTTTGCTCTGTAACACTGGATTTTGTGCACGATGAGCTGATAGTTCCCTCAGTTTCACTTGCAATTGTGCTTTTACTCTCACGGTTATCTTGTTCCTCTTCGAAATGCGGCTAAAGCTTTAGTCTCTATTTTACGACTTGTAAGCACATTTTCACACTCGGATCATCTGTTAAATTCAGTCTTCCAACATTCACATCAAATGTGTTGGGAGATAATGGAAATCAGGAGACATTTTTTCTAAGTGGATGAAACAGGAGATGTTTGTTTTCTTGCCCCAGATTACTTTCCTATTAAAATGACAACAGCCTATTGTGTTGTTTAATAGGTTGCTTAACCTATTAAAACTCCCAACTGTAACTTAATTTTAACCATAAACAACTCCAGAAATTCTCTACATGGTTATAATCCCATTTCCCTTACTGGGTGACTTGAGTGATGCTTTTTCTGGAAGATGCTTCCCTGTCCTATTTTAGCTACAGCCTAATTTTGCCTAGTGAAATAATTGGCTTTTTCCAAATTTCAGCACTTGAGGTCATGCCTGGCATGGATCCTACAAGGAGAAGCCACCTTTTGCTACAGAGCATGACTATAGATACTGCATTAAGAAAAGGAATGTCTGAGCGCGTGTGTTTACAGGAACCATGAGAGATGCCTCATTACCACTCATGCGTATACCCCACTAAAATCCCTGAACATCTACAGGAAGACATGCCCTGACACGCTCAGGGTGAGAAATGATTACTTCCAGAATAAACTGTCCAATTCCATGGATGGACTGAATTAGCCACTTGCAAAAGCCCCAGGTTCGCCCTCTTTCAAAAATAGAGGAGGGGTGAGGTTGGGAAGACACCCACGAAGTGAGAAGTAACAGAAATAGCAGGACAGTGAGCAGTGGGGGAATGAGGGCTTGAAAAGCCACTGGCTCTCTGTGAGGCTAAGAATGTTATCAGGTACTTCAAAGCAGCAGCTGTGAGAAACCAAAACCTAAAAACTAATATCACAGGAACCAGGACCTTATCAAGTTAAATGTAAGACTAATGGAGCGAGTAACAAGCCATGAAGTATGGGGGCATGAAATTATGATAAAATTTCTATGAAGCAGAAAAAAATATTCTTCAAAAGATTTAAAAAGCATCCCTATTTGTAAGGGTGTTCGGTTTCTTTCTGTGTTTAAGAAAAAAATGGACAGTCTAGCTCCTAAAATTAATACATAAAGCTCTGTTAAGCAGAAATGTTGGCTTTTCAAGGCAATTTTATTAGCAGAAACTCTGTTGGCTGTCCTCAATTGTTCAGGGCCATAGACTCACGAATTTGGAAGGCATCATGAGGTTATTTGTTTATGAGACCCTGTGGCTGGCTACCAAGAATCCCTATCACCACACTTGTCATATTTGCTTTAAAGGTCTCCCAAAATGAAAGTGGCTCAGATTCCATTTTCAGTGTCTGCTGCTGCTTTAGCGGGACAGGATGGAGCAGAGGAAGGCTCACCAACACTTGCTAGCGTTCTGGCTCAACCTCAGGGCCGGCCAACTTGTCAGAACTATCCCAGAAAGGCAGGTGGCCTGAGCTGCTGCGTTGGCTGCTATGCTAGCACGACTGGTCTTCTACCCAGAACTGAGCTTCAAAGCCTCGTTTACTTCAAGACATTTTCACTGGGAACCCCTTCTTGTGCCAGCCAAGCTTTTTCACTGAAATGGATTTTTTGTACATTCTCCATGGAAATGATGTACATACCCCTCATCTTTTGCATATTGCAGGAGATCACCAATCACTCCCTGACCAAAGGAATGCGACCTCTTTTGATTTTCTTTGTGGACTCCATTGCCCATCTGTCCCTTAGTTTTTACCGGCCTTCTCTAGACTTTTAGACTTTTTCCCATCTTTCTTAAAATATGAAGGTGACAGGGGGACACAACCCCCAAGGAGGCTCCATTCAATGTTTCAGTCTTCCATATGGCAGAAATTAGGTGGAAGATTTTAGAGATAACTGCAGTGGTTCAGTCTTGGAATGGAAAAGCCTTACAATGGCAAGAACCCCTTAAGCTGAATTTCTGACACATCAGAATGTGCTTTAAAACATCTAAGGATGGAAATAAGCAATTCAGTGGGTTAGTACACAAGTCCCAGGATCAAATACAGTTCATATATTCACTAGCTGTGTGACCTTGGAAAAGTAAACTAACCTCTCCAACACTCAGTTTCCCATCTATGATGTGAAAGTAGTAACCAGTTCTTACCTCATAGGAATTTTGAGAGACTTGAAAAGCTACTGCATGTAATGTGTTCAGCATAACACTGGACACAAAATAAGTGTTCAAAACTAATTTTAATTTTAGGATTTTTTTTCATAAGGTATACTTGTTCATTATTGGACACCTTTGATTGTTATAAAACTTATTTCTTAATGCTATTTTTGAGTATGTCCTAATTTCCAATGATTTTTTTCTCTTTAAGTAGTAAAAGAGCTATATGGATGCCAGTTTCTTTTCTTCTCCAGATTAACATCATCAAATTCTATTTCATATAATAAGATTTTCATGTCTCCTGCTGGGTTGCTTGCCCTAGAGGCCCTCTAATTTTTTAGTGTCGAAATGTCAGCCAAACACAGGACTTTTGCCAGTCCTATGATTCTTATTTCATATCAGCTTTTTCTTATATACAGGCATACATGCTTGTGTGTGTGCGCACATACACACATACACACACACGACTCTATGTGGTGCACCACGAGTCAGTTATTTAAGAGGAACACTTAGGATATGCCATATCCTAATACAAGAATACGAAACCTAAGAAGTATAAAAAGAATAGCTACAGTCTCTGAACCCTCAACATCAACTCTTCAATGGCCTAGAAACACCATGCATCTTGGATAATCATTTGATTTAGCAGAATCTCAGCAGCCAGGATCATTTTTTAATAGGAAGGTCAGTTCCTGCCTACTCTTAGCAAAAGAACTAAAAGAACTTTATTAAACCATGAAATTATAAGATCTCCCTTCATAGACAGTTAACCCATCATTCAGAGGACCCTAAACCAGGACTTTGCTCAGAAGCATATGACTTTGGAAGTCCTGAATTCTGGAGCATCACCAAGGCCACGTTTATAAGGAGCACATAGAGCCAGGAGAGAAGAATACAGAGCCCCAGCATTCTAAAACAGAGCTGTCCCTATAATGTGTGAGACACATCACGTTTCTCTATGCTCATCACTACAACAGACTCGGTGGAAGCAGAAGTAATGACTCTTGTGATTACACTTTATTCACCACGCTTTCTATTGGAGACTCAGTGTGTTTTCTTGGGAGATATATATAGATATCTATAGATATTATAGATAGATAGATAGATATCTATATATATATATAATCTCAAAATGTTTTCTTTATTTTTCTACAAAGCTTGTGTTTTCTCTGTAAGACATCTTTCTTCTTCTCCCTGTTCATCTGCATTCTATTTTTGATAGTATTCCCAGTATCCTTTGAAGTTCTTTTCCATCTTCCAAGTATATAGCAACTCTGTCCAACTTTGTGCTTCCTTATGATTCACTTGATTGTTATTGTCCAGCTCGTGAATAGAAGTATTAAGTAAAACCCCTTTAAATTTATGATCCGATCCCTATGGATTAACACACAATATTTTTTATATCAAGATGCTGAAATCTCAACAGTCAACCTTAACTATAACTCTAAGAAAGGTACAATATTGTCTATGCCTCTGCTTCCTGAGGTGGGTTCTGTGACCCTTTACAGAATTTCATGGCCAAATAAGTTTGGAAAATGCTGTAAACTATAATGACTCTAAGATACTCATATTACCTTATTAAAAACATTGGAGAATCCTATAGTAAAGTATTATATTTTGCCCTGTGTTTCCCAAACTTAACTGTTCATGGAACACTTAATAACTTTCTATAAAACACTCTTTCGGGGACCGACTACTCGAAGCAATTTCTACAGCCTAGTGATAACAAATGTCATGAAGAAAGACTTAGAAAGCCCATCCAGTTTCTCTGTATACAATCTTTCACTTTCTTCTTACCTACACAGTCTAATATTCTTCAAAGAGAGAAAATTAAATTGTTCTGACATTGACATTATTTGTTTGTTCAGAAATCCAACTTGAATTGTTACACAATATCTAGGGCTCCTCTGAGTAATGGAAAGTAATTTGGTGATCATTCTATTATTTTCTCTAGGATTAAATTCACATTGACCAATTTATATTTTCCCAGGTGTGCACATGTGTGTATCATTATCCAGACAGTTTCCTAAGTGCTTTACATGCATTTAGTTCGTTCTTAACTCACAACACTCTTAAAAGGTAGATGCTATTAGTTTCATTTTATAGATATGGAATCTGCTGACTGCTGAGGGCAGATATCTTGTTTAAGGTTTCCAAGACTAGTCGGGGTGAGAGGGAGGATTTAAACCCACGTATGTCTTGACTCTAGGGACTGCACATTGCACTATATTGCTTCTCAGGTTAAAGTTCGGTGACTTCCTCTATTCTCCATGGGGCTAGGAACATTTTGACACCTGTTCAAATAAGCCAGTCTTATCCAAAAACTCCACTTCTGCCCTTGCCTTAAATTTTTCGAGCTCTCCACCCCCACCTCTTCTCAGTCTATGGTTTTCCCCTTGTCATTTCCATCTATTCCTGTGGTTTTAGTTCTCACTGATACGGGTTTAATAGTAATCAGTCAGTTACAGCCTGGCATCCTTCTAATGAATCCAGACTGATTTTTCCAGCTGTCTACGAAGATCTCAAAGTCAACATGCTAGATACTAGATTTATTCCTTTCTCTAATTGCCCTTCTCTCATCTTTATTTTAATTCTCCTTTTTCAAGGCTGCCCCTTAAGGCCAACTTCTCTCTGCAGCTCACCTAGATCCTCCCAGGCAAAATCAATTGCTCTTTGCGCTCTAGATTCTTGATAGTGTATGTCCACTTACAATTGGTTGACTTTCTATAACCAAAATTGTAATAACAAC